TGTGTGTGTGTGTGTGTGTGTGTGTGTGTGTGTGTGTGTGTGTGTGTGTGTGTGTTTGCATGTGTGACGGGCCATATAATCAGTTATAACCTAATCAGTTCTAATCAATTAAAACTTAATATCCAATTCTATTATGCCAAAATCTTTATCACTAGGATGATTCCAATATAATTAACTTAAAATCAAAGAATTAAAATTTTTTTTGTGCCAACTTTTTCCAAGTGAATCATTTTGTTTTACAATATTATTAAAAATGAATGTACCAGCTTCTCGATTTACTTCTGTGATAGCACTTGTTGTGAGAGCTCTTCCTATTACTTCATCTACTGATGTATAAACCTGAAACAGATCGAAAATTGAAATTGGAAATAATTAATTTTAATTTTGACTTAAATTTAAAAACTTACAATTTTCCAGTCGGTAATTGCTACAATTAATGCATCATCAGCGCATTGACCACGATGTTGCCGTCGTCGTAACATTTCAGCAAATACCTGAACTGTACGATTCCGGCTAACCGTATTCCTGAACATGATAATGTTTCGTTTATTAAAATATTTTGAATGAATGTATCTATTTTTCTAGTTTTTCTGGAATGAAAAGAGTTTGTAAAAATTACATTCAATTATCATGAATCGGAAAGAAAAGTCGCAAAAATTCAATCAAAACAATCAATCCATCACAAATTCTTGTCGTAAATTCAAAAATAATTTACGATAAATAAACTAGAAAAAAGAATAAATCAATAATTTATATATTTCAGCATTAATTATTTTAACACACAAACGAAATATATTTACATCATATCATCGTTTATCATCTCAATTGATCTCATAACAGCGATTGATATCGTATATCCACGTGGATTAATAGTTGAACAATGTCCATACAAATTATCATCTTTTAAACATGGACACTTTGTCGCATAACGAATTTGTTGCAAATAATGCGATAAATATTCAGCTCCTAAATGACAACATATAAAATTATCATATTATTATCAGTAAGAAAAAAAAGTAGAAGAAAAATGTTTACATATGATTAAGAATAAACATTAATTAAACTTACCGGAAAGTGTTTGATTAAAACGTCTCAATAATTGATCCGGATCACATGCTAATCCTGGAGCGTTAAGATTACAAAGATCCGGTTTAATTAATGAATCCGGAAATGTTTCAATGGTATAATTCGGCAAACAATGAATAAATGGAAATATCAATGATAAGAAAGGAATAATAATAATAATAACATTGATATGAATTGACATACTCCTTGGATGTAATCAATGCATTACTGTAAATTCAACAATTATATTCGCCATATAAATCATATCAAGATTCTAAAATTGAACTTTTCGAAATATTTGATAACAATGATTAAGATCATTGATAATACCAATGATCTCTCCTAAAGTGTAAAATATTTGATAATAATGATTAAGATCATTGATAATATCAATGATATCTTTTGAAGTGTGAAATTCTTATAGATTGTTAAAGTTGAATTTTAACTGTTACTTTTAACAAATAAGATGAAATTGTTGAAGATTGAAAATG